TTGGCATAGACCCACATAAACGGAAGACTTTTATATTTTTTTTACTCTTAGACATATTTTAGATTAGATATTAGATGTTTTTACAAACTTTATTTGCTTTGTATTAATTAATTAATTTAATTTCTTTTGGTTTTATTTTTTTAATATTTAAATAGAAAATAAATCATACTTATGTTTTTATTTAATTAAATCGATTTTAAATTTATTAAATCATTGCTTTTTAATTTTTTACTTTACATTTCACTCCATTTCCCATTCTCGTCAATTACCTCACTCTCTTCATCCATATTTTATCTATTGCCTATAAATATTTGTATATATATTTTTTTAATATTACACTTAACCGTTTTCCGTGTCTTTTCACGTTGACTTGTATTTTATGAATAATTTCACAGCGTAAATTTGTATGCGACTAAATTCGCGGGCATTCAAAGTTGTTAGTTTAATATTAAACCGTTGTGAGGCATGAAAATGTAGAGTGGTTGTCAATGCCTCAATGGTTTTGGTATATAAAAATATGAATATGTAAACATATACACACACATACTTACTATAATAGACATTCTTTCAAACAGTAGCACAAGCAATTGAGGGTTCAATAGGGTTACGAGGGCTAAATCTTAAATTATTTGAATGGATATTTTATTTTAAAATTAAAAACAAATTACTACATTTGTATTTTTTATTAAATTTATGTTTAATTTAATTTTCTTTGATTATTTTTGATACAATATATTTTTTGAATATTTTTCATTTTATTTAATTTTATTAATTTAAGTTTTTAAATCTGAAATTACTGTACAATAAACCCTCGTATGAATGCATACATAAAAATAAATTTATATATGTACATATATACTCGAATGTAGTGGTAGTCGTAAATATGTAATTTATACAGGGCTAAGAATTTTTGCCGCAATACACCCCAAGGTGGTCGGGAAGACTTTCATTTAATTTCGTGTATTTCGTGTATTGTAATAAAAAAAGCAATAATTTACTGAATGAATGAAGAGCATGCATGACCTTGAACTTGAAAAACAGTGTTAATAAAGTTCAGATGATAATAATAATAAATTAAAATGTTAACAATGGGAGGGAAAAAAGAAAAAAAATTTATTTATTTTTATAAAATAAATAAATTAATTAATTAACTTGAAAATATTACTACTAAGTAAAATAGAAAAATTATGTTTAAAAACTTTTTTACGATTTTCAAAAATTCTTGCTTAAAAATATGTTTTTGAATTTGCTTTTAATTTACAATAATAATATTTCATATTGATTATATATATACAAGTATAATTCATAATTTTACAAATATTTTAAGCAATTAAGTTATGGAGAAAATGCTTCAATTATTTTACTATGTATAGTGGGGTATTGTTGGGTAAAATTTTCACAGGAAAATATTTTTATACAAAATGTTATTTTTATTTACTGATCATTTTATAATTTTTGTGATAAGATTTTATTTTTTATTTTTAAATATTTTTTTTTTTGTTTTAATTATTTTTTTTTTTTATATTTTAAATTATTTATCTTTTTCAAAATCCTTAATAATTTTTATTTAATTTTTCATTTATTTAAATACTTCTACAAGAACTTTTTTTATGTTTTGTATTTATTTTTTAATAACTTTAATATTTTTTTACTTATTTATTATATTTTTTCTTTCATTTCTTATTTTAATTATATTTGTTTAAGATTTTTTTTGTGTTTATATTTATATATAAATAATATATATATATATATGTATACAATATATTTGAAAATCCAAACACGACAAAATTTCCCAAATAAAAATAATAAGCAAAAATAATTAAAATTGTTTAAGAATTTAATTTTTTATTGTAAAAATATGTTTATTTTTTAATAACTTTTTCATTTCTTATTTATTTAGTTTTTTTTGAAAATGTATTGTTTATGCAATAACTTTTTACATTCTTTTTTCGTTTTTTATTTTTCGCTCATTGATAAATTGGTTTTTTTCGAAAATATTTTTTTTTTTGTTATTAATTTCTTTTTTTTTGAAAATAAGTTTTTAATTTAGCTTTCAGTTTTACATTAATTATTTTTTATTAATTATGACAGTATTTTTTATGTATGTTATTTTTTTTTTTGTTATTTTTTTAATACTGTTTATTTTTTCAATTATGCCCGCTTTTTTTTGTTAATTTTTTCATTAATTTTTTTAAATACTTTTTTAATTATAATTTTTTTAATTTCGTCATCCATAGGGATACTTTTTTAGCATAAAAGAAATATTTCCAATCCCATCTAATTCTTTCCTGGGCACTTCCTTCTACTGACTTCTAATACTCATTTTGCACATACTAATCGATATATTCCCTATAAGCAAATAGCTTTGACTCCTCTACATGTTCAGTGTTTGCCTAATAAATAAAATATGAATTTGCTTGCCTCGCCCGTCATTACATAACCTATATACACCCATCAAGCTATGTATGTAGACGAATTTAGTCGTACTTAATAATGTATATGCCATTCGCGGGGTCAGAATTAATTACGTCTAGTGAGGAGAAAATAAAATTTGTATGTATGAATATAAAATAAATTAATGAATTCAACCGCATGACATTTTAACCCATTATTAGTTCAACATTAGCTTGGTTTACTGTTTTCTATTTTTTTGCTGCACTCTACTCTGAAGAGAATATTAAATAAGCAGACCCACAAGTGAGAGAATAATGGGTGGAAATGCAGAGAAATTTAATAGCCAAAAGCCACTAAATCGATAGCCATCGACAGGTGGATTGTGGTATACGAGAGGCATACTTGACTCGATTAATAATAAACTAAATAGGGTAAATTGTAATGAATATATAAACAAAAATACCAGCCACAAAAATACTAACCATTTGAGAACTATATTAAGAAAATTCGCCTGAAACTATGCAATGATGCTCATTTAATCAATTTTTGAGCTAAACTTTTGTACGAGAAATTTAATTAAAAAATTTCGCCTGAATGTATGCTGTGAAATTCAATCAGTCCACGTGAATGCCGATGGCCAACTTACAAATTTGATTATATTTTGAAGCATAATTTCTAAAAAAAAAATTGCGAACCAATTCCACTTTTTCAACCTTTTAGTACGATGTGTTAGCCATCATAGCACCTAAGCCATTTGGATGAAAATTTTGAGCGGGAAATGAAGAGTGAAAAGAAAAACTCTGACATAAGGGCTAACAACCACTCAAGAGCGCTAGACGAAGAGCGCACAAACATTGCGTAATAGCAGCCGGAACTTGCCAAACTACAATGGTGACCACCCCGAAATATACGTAAAGCCCACAAAGACGGAAAACAGACATCTGAGGTTGCTAAATCGAATAAAAGGCAGAAGAACTACTAGTCCCTTAAGCAGCTAACCGTTAGGTCCAGTGACAGCCCAGCAGTCTCTTGAACCAGCAGTTCTTACGCCGAATACACTCTCTTTTATTATATCATTATTGCCGCTAGAAGACTAGGGGAGGGTATGTTGTCAGAGGGTCAGGCCTAGCAGGAGTCGGCGTTTAGTGATTATCTAATTGATATGTGCGTAACGTCATCAGTCACAATTCGTTTGAAAACAGGTGATTTTAGTTTGGACAATGGTAAAGAGTCTTCCGGAGTGGTGGGGTAATCTCAAGCTCCTGCAGACACGTATTTTTAAGACGTGGAGTTCTCTCAGTAAAGTAAAGTAAATTTCTATAAAAATTCCGCCGCGGTAGCCCTCCGAAAGGATTGTGGGTATAGAACAGCATTTATTCTCATTTCAGGGATTAGTGGCAGGCAATGCTCACCTCCCTCTTTCCCTCCTCTAGTTCAGTACGGAGTTGGGCAGTGTGAAGTGTAGACAAAGCCTCAGGCTGCAACTACCCATTTTACTCACCAGCCGTCCATAACTGACGACGTTAGTAATGAAATACATACACGAGCTATCGACGCCGCTGAGAGCGGCGAAATGTTGCCAGCTGCCTGTGTGTTTGCACACTTTTGAACAAATTCATAATTTTCGTCAACGAATTTCATAATTTATTTGCTTTAACATAAACACAAGGCAAATATACATGATCTATATAGTAACAAATAATTAGTTACGCATTTAGTTTTCATTTCTTTTGAACAAAACTACGCATTATCTTCGATTATTTAATGTTACTTTAGAAAGGCTATACTGGCAACCTTGTATAGCAACGAAAAATGAGCCGAGCCGGTTTTACGGAAAAATCAAAACTTCGTTGGTTTCTGCGACACAAACGTCAGCAACGCTATGGTAAATCGGTGACAACTTTGTGTTTACATGGTACTCTCATAAGATAGGTTACTATGGACGGCTGGTACGCTCGTTGGGTAGTTGCAGCCTCAGAAGAGCCCATGTCTCCTTGCCAGTTCCCCTTGGAGGTGAGTAACGTGACATCCAAGAATGTAACAGCTGTGTGGCCGGCAAACAATCCGCTGCTTTATCTATATCTTCCGTTCGACTACTCAATTTTACTTCCAACGACAGTGGGTGGTAATCGGGGAATTCAACTAAAAGCCTGTGGCAGCTCAGATTATGAAAAAGTGCCAGGGTAGCTAATTTTTTTTCAAAATTCTGTCATTTTTCAATGAAAAAAAAAATATTAAATAAAAAAAATATTGCAAATAAATATTTTTTATAATATTATTTTTGTATATATAATATATATAATAATTATATTTTATATTTTTTTTTTCAAATCAATAAAATAATTATATTAAATTTTCTCAATAATTTTGATTTTTAAAAACGCCATTCAAGCATATTGGTAGCTAATAATTTTTTAAATGCTTTCAAATATCCGAATTTAAATGAAGAAAAATTCAAAAAATAGTATTATTATTAGATTACACATTTTAAATATTTTATAATTATTTTGGATTAAAAAAAACAGTTGTGAAAACTTGTAGCAATTTATGAATATATTTTAAACAATATAAACCTAATATTTATCAACAAAAAATCATATATATTAAAATGAGTTTAGCCAGCCCTTATGATACTTTATTTGTTACATTAAAAGTTTTAAAAAGTATTTAAAAACTGTAAAAAAAAAGTTAATAATTTTTCTCACAAAAACAAATCCACTCAAATATCTCACTAATACTAAATGCTTACTTGTTCGTTGAGATTATCGCAGATTTCGGCACTCAAGCCATTCATTTTGTTGTTGCAACAATGATGCGATTGCATATCGCCAGCATCCAACGAGGCACTCCCAACAACAACACCGCCACCAACACCATTCATCAACGACGTTTTATCCTCGAAATCACAGAGTAATTTATTTTTGAAATTCTTCAAATTTTCCAACTTAAAACCGTTCGTATTTGTATTATTCGTTTTATTCGAATTAAATTTACTGGTGAGTGTTTCCAAGTTAACCAATTTACTGTTATTATTATTATTATTGTTATTGTTGTTATTGTTATTATTAATTTGTTCACTACCCAATTCACAATGATCGTCACTCAATTTATTCTCAATAAACACCAACGAATTGGGACCCGATGGCACAATATCTTCAAAATCAGCCGGATTTAAACTTAAAAACTGCTCCTGATCAATGAGTATCGGTTGTTTGCCGAAATTATATTGATATTGATTACAACCCAATGAATAAGCGCTGCTGCTGAGCGTCGCCTGCGTGGAGGTCGTATCGAAATTGAGATTCAAATCTTCTAAACTCTCGGTGGAACGTCGATGTTGATCGGCGTTGCCGAAGTTTATGTTGTTGTTGTTGTGATTGTTAAGCGTTATTGTACTGCTGGTGGTGCTATTGCTATTGCTATTGCTGCTGCCGTTTTGTGTGGCGTTCGTGGCGGGTCCGACAAATTCGAATTGGCCAGCCCACATGTCATAGGCTAAGTCGATGCTGTCGGGCTGGCTGGCCGGTTGGCTACTCATTATGAAGCGACGGCGTTTTGTGAAGGCAGATTTTTTTTTTTGTTTGTTTTATTACTTTTAATCTTAATGCGATTCCAACGCTTAGTTGGGACACTGTCTGTTCTGCGGCGCGTGGGCGTGTGGTGAGTAAGCACTATTTTAAGCGCGTAAGGGTGTTGAGTATTTTGCGGTTTGGAAGGCCTGGCAATTTTTTTCGGCTATATTGCGTATATTTTTTTGGCCAGATAATTGAATTGTTGTTTTAAATATACGTTTTGTTGTAGCGAATATTTTATTATATTTTTTGTTATTTTCAAAAAAAAAATTAGTTTTTTTAATTCTTTTTTTTATTCAAAAATTTTATTTTCTTAATTTTCTGTTTATATTTTCAAACGAGTTTAAGGCACATTATCACTTGTTGTTGATTTTGTTGTTTATAACAATATTTATTGTTATTGTTTTATTGCTAACTGCTTGTGTAGCTGTTAGACATTGCTGCAATAAATTTAATTAACGTATTGGAATTTTTATTTCAAATATTTTCTCATTTCAAGTATTTATTTTGAGCACACATACAAAAAAATTATAAACAAAATTTCCAAAAATAAAAAGCATTGAGCCAAGCTCTGTATAACTCGCAGAGTACACAAACATACACACAAAAATATGCAGATACATAATTATTAATTTAAAAGTAAGTCTTTAAATTTTTTTTTCTTGTTTATATAACAGCATCAAAACTGTTGTTATAACAAAAAAAATAATAATACAAAATTTTTTTCAAATGACTAGATCGCTTTAAGCCATTTTTCTAAAGCACTTTCATGATAAATTTCGGCCAAAAAATATTTAAAAAAAAATTTATTAACAAAAAAACTTTGTTTTTCAAAAAATTAATATTTAATTATAGTTTTCAAAATTCAAAAATTTCAGTTCAAAATATAAAAAAAGGTAAGAAAGACTAAGTTCGGGTTGAGCCGAATATTAATTACTCAACTGATATTTATATTAAAGGCCAGGCGGCATATCTGACTCTCACAGAGATGAGATATTTTACGAGTTCTACTTTACTTCGCCTTAAAATACATTTTAAATTAAAATTAAAGACCAGGCACTTATATGGGAGGTACGACTCTTTGTCGTCTCATTTTAATTTATTTTAGTAGGGGCTTGGAACTCACTTCCACCATCATATTTATTAAATATTCCTGATAAATTTCTTTAAGACTCGTTTCAAAGTCAAGAATGGGACAAAATTAAGAGCTCTGTGATATGGAAGCTAGATCTGTTTCTGAACCGAGTTTAGCCTTTTTGGTAGGACTTTAGTACCCATTAACCCATTTGGTTCAAAAACAGACCCGTCACGGACTGTAAGGCTAATTGTCGGAAGTCCAGGAGCGAAACATTGCATCAAAAATAGCTTGGACCCACTTGAAGAGACTGGATACACAAAGAAGCTCTATTAATGGGTGCCACAAGAGTTAAGGCGAAAAAAACTCATGAACTGAATTTCCTACAGCGAATTGCTGCTGAAGTGTAACAAAATCGATCCATTTCTGCAGCGGCTACTGATTGGCTAAATGAAAATTGGATCATTTACAGCAACGTCAAACAGAAACGGTCGTAGTCGCAGGGAAATAAACTCGCACAAACGGTCTCCAAGCAAAAATTGACGGCCCTGAAGGTTTTGCTAATTTTTTGGTGGGAATCATCCATCATGAGTTGCTCTCCTACGGCTAAGCAGTTAATTTGAGCCTGTACTGTCAGCACTTTAGTTCGTCTGAAGAAAGCAATCGCCCGCAAGCGCCGAGCTTTGAGCAACAGGACGGGAAATTATGTTTCAACAGAACAACGCCAGATCACACAACGATAGTGGCCTCCCAGATGCTTCGAGTACGTGGTTGGGATGCTTTAATGCGTGCTTTTTATAGCCCAGAGATCGTATCAAGTGATTACCATCTGCTCTTCCATGTGGCTGGTGAAGAATTGGCCTGAAGAGAAGCATGTGAAAATGGATTGTCCTATTTTTTTTTTCCTAAATTAGGATAAAGGGTTTCTTTGAGAGAGGCACAGTGATATTATCTATCGAATGGAAAAAAGTTATCGAGCAAAACGGTGCATATATGACATAAATCGAATTAATCTAATTATGTTAAATAGAGCATTCAGTTTAAAGCCAAAATGTAATCTATTATTTTTTACTAGTTCTATTTAGTAATAATATATTAAACATTTTACATATTTATTTAATTTAACTATTCCTTTGTTTCATCTTCCCCTTTACCGCTATTTCACTGACACACATTTCTCAATTTTTCACTATTTTCCAAAGTCAATCGATGAATGTGAATACAATTTTTTTCATTTTTTCATTTTTTTCTTTTTCACTTTTCACTCTGACATTTTGACGTCTCGACAATTATGTCACATTGTAATAAACAGTTATGTAATCTATCTATTTGCTGATGAGAAATACTAACAATAGTTATGGCTATTTGTTTTGACAGATTATGACGGAGGCTTAAAGAAGAAAGAAAAATATTGCAACACTAAAAAATTAAGAAAAAAATATTAAAAAAGGAAAATTGAAAAAGTGAAGTAAAAACTAAAAAAAAAAAACAAGTAAGTAAAAATTATGAAAAATGATAAGCTCTTAGCACAAACAAAAAGCAGATGCCATGATTAGACAGCAAAAAAATGTGAGAAAGATAAATTACAAAAAAAGTTACAAATATTTGCAAGTAAGAAAAAAATTAAAAAAAAAATATTCAACTCACAACTAAGTGTGTTAATTGTGAATTATGTCTACATACAATCCACGCACACTTGCATACTGTAATCGAGTCTACATGCAATTACGCCGCCAACGGACTGCTTGCTTGCTTGCTTCTCTACTAAGCTTAGCGAACAGTGGGCTTTGAAAAAGCCAAATTGATGTCAATTCATGTCTTGTGCGTCCACTCATTTGTCACTGAAGTGGTTGGCTGAGTTGCAGCTGTGCGGCGTGCGTTCAGTGCGCAGACGTGCAGACGTGTGGGTGGCTTGTAGCCCGTGCGCTTCGTGCGCTTAAGTAGGAAATGCAGTATGAAGCCAACAGAGTTTGAATTTATAGCAATACAATGTTGTTGCAGTACTACTGCTAGTAAGCAAGACAAATTTATGTAGCACAAATATATCTGCATAAGTATATTTGTAGGTAAGTACATATTTGAAGCTTTAAGTACTCGTATCTTAATGGTTGAGGTGTGTGCTTTGGACTTACGTTTTGCGAAAGCACTTGGGTGTTGGAATCATTGTACGTATATATACATATATAGATATGTATAATAAGGAAATATTTATTGTTGTTAATGCTTAATTAAAATTTCTGCTTGGTTACCTTGAAAAGTACGCCTACAGCAAAATTATAGCAAGTGAAAAGAAATTTTTTTTTCTTTTCTATGTATTTTTTTATAAAAAAAAAATATTTGCTTATTTCGTTATCTTCTTAAGCTCATTGAAATATATTCATTATTATTATTATTATTTATTTATTTTTTGTATTTATTTCTATGAAAAAAAAATTAATTTCTGAACATATCGAAAATAAAGATATTTAGACGAAAAATGGAGACTTTAAAATTCTTTTTAACTAAGAAAAAGAGCGAAAAAGTTATACCTTTTTATGACATAACCATAGGAATAAAATTTTCAGCGTGTCTATGAAAATATTGATAATATTTATAGAAACCTTAAAATTCTGTAAAGGTTACTACGATTTAACAGTGTCATACAATTTTCGAATAAAATTATTTTATCTAATAATTTTTCTGGATTTTCATTAAAATTTTGTTACCAAGAAATTTAATTCGCATTTTATGTCTGAAATATCTTCGAAATTAAATTTAAATATATCGCATTAGTCAACTATTAATTTTTTTTTTTTTGTGAAATAAATCGTATACAGACATAAAATAGAATAAAACTAACATAAAAAAAAAATTAAAAAAAATTACCTAAAAAATTATATTCAAAATAAACAAAAAAAGTTAAGAAAATAAAATAAATAAAGGAAAATAATTTAGAAAAAAGTTATAATAAAAAAAATGAAAGAAAAAAATAAAAATATTAAGGAACTTCAAACGGAAAACAAAAAAAAAAGAAAAAACAAATAAAAGAAAAACGTTTTAACAACAAGTCGCTACAGAAATTATAACATATTTTTTCACCTAACTTTGGAGTAAATTTTGTACTGATTTTATATTAATTTTTTTTCTTAATTTTCAATTTCTATTTTTTATTTACTTATTGCTTTGATTAGTTTTTCATTCTCCTACATTTTTTAATACTTTTGTAAGTTTTTTTTCATATATCTCTTTAATATCCAGCAAAATCTACGCGATGAAGCAATTTTATGAGTTTCCCATGCCTATTCGTGTCTGCTCCACTTTACAAGTAATACATTTAATTATTGTCCATTCGATAGCTAATTGCTGTCTTAAGTATGTCATTAAACTTACATTATGCGATATAAAAATATACTAGTTGGAAAATTACAAAACAGAAAGCCGGTAATTATGAGGAATTGATTGAAAAATTATGAAAATCTTTAATAGCGGCAAAAAAATAATAAAAGGCTTAAGTTTAAAAAATAAAAACAAAACATAGATTAAAAAATTAATAAATATTCAATGAAAATGAAAATATAAAATAGAAATAAACAAATAAATTAAAGTAAAAAATTAGTATAAAGTCATGACAGCTGAATTGTTCATCATACGCAATGTGCAACCCTATACAAAGGAACAAAGGGAAGAGCCGTTCATTGAATTTTCGATTAGTGTAAAATTTATGGGTTATCATGTTACTCATGCGCCAACTTGTATATTAATTTAATATTAAAAAGATTTTTGGCATTAAACTGCTTATTTTTAATATAAACTCAACTATTTTGTTTCTGATTTTCCTGCTTTAATTTCTCCTATTTATTATTACAATAATTTTCTTATATTTCTATACAATATATATATTTTATTTTTTTTTTTGTGTTACCTTATTAACGAATTTTTTCAAATTTAATTTAAATTTTTTTAAATTTCATTTCATTGCTTTTTTCCTATTTTCAATTTTTTATTACGTTTTCATTACCCCTACTTGAACTTTTCACTTTCAATAACAATTAACTACTTTTAAATACGCGCTGAAATTAGTAGGAAAAGTTGTTTCAGCCAAGTCAATAACAGCTGCCAATAAAAGGCAAAAACAGCAATTGCACGTTGATTACAAATCGATTTGCTGTTTAAGCAGATGACCATAAACGATTGCAGAGGCCAAATTGGCACTTTAGTAGTAAAAGAAAATTACAAAAAATGCAACATTGCACATAGCAATGCGTTAAGTAGTTTTAATTAACTACCAAGTAATGGCGGCCACCAAAAGAGCCAATGAATGCGTTTAAGCAATGACTTTCAATTTCAAATGCGCAAATGCCATAGAGAAGCGTGGATAAAATGCAA